TGAAAATCCCGAGCTACTGTTCTGTCTTAATAATTCGCTGGGCAAATTGCCCTTCGCTTTCGAGGGAAAGGGGCCGCGTTCGCGAAGGGTAAACTGGACACTCCATCGCGAACGCGTGAAATAGAATGCGAACGCATAGAAGAAAATGTTGGGGGGTCCAGGGACTGTTATACGCGAACGCGTGAGGGGCCACGCGAACGCGTTGAGGAAGCTGGAAAGCTACGCGTTCGCGATAGTGAGGATGCGAACGCGAAGGAGGGGAATTAGAACTACGCGATCGCGTGAAGTAGGACACGAACGCGTAAGAGGGGAAGACCAAAGCACTGCGAACGCGAGCCTGAGGCCGCGTTCGCGAAGAACAAAATGCCTGTGTAAAAATGCAGCAGAATCTGATCCTTTCCTAAGTGTAAAAACACCCCGAACCACCTCCAATTCACTCCCGAGCCCTCGAGGCTCCTAACCAATCACACACACTAACTCAATAACATCCTACGAACTTACTCGAGCGATCAAATCGCCAAAATAACATCAAAAATCATTGAATCAAGCCTGAAGATCATCAGTTTCATTTCAAACTTCATAACTTCAAATTTTAGATATTTAGGTCTGAAACACGTCAAATGACATCCGATTTCGACCAAACTTTATAGAAAGCGCTTAACACATATCTAAGACTTGTACCGGACGTCAGAACCAAAATACGAGCCCGATACCATAGTCTTTTAATCAATTTTCATTTCCATTTTCCTTAATAATTTCAGAAAAACAATTTCACAGAAAAATTCATTTCTCGGGCTCTCGACCTCGAAATTCGACTCCGGGCATATGCCCGAGTCTCATATTTTTCTACGGACCCTCCGGGACCGTCAAATCAAGGGTCCGGGTCCGTTTACCAAAAATATTGATCAAAGTCAACTTTAATCATTTTAAAGCCACATTTTGAAATTTTTCACAGAATTTAACATATAAGCTTTCCGGCTACGCGCCCGGACTGCGCACGCAAATCGAGGCAAGCAGAAATGAGGTTTTCAAGGCCTCAGAAGCACGGAAAAGAGAGAAATCCGGTGATGACCCTTTGGGTCGTCACATGTACGGAGGTCCGTCTTGTTCAAGAATGGTGGCTCTTTCATTTATGTATTCTTCATTATCATTTGATATTATTGGAGCAATTTTTTATTTCTCACAAATGAGATCCAATCGCAACTGTAACCAAATGTTATGTTCAGTTATGCTTGTTTATTCCTATCTTCTATCTCATATCTAGAATAAATTATCTCTGACTAGGATTTGCCCCAAATCTTCTTATTTAATTGGTTTAACAAAAAGGCCTGAATACTTTTTAGTCAAACAGTTTTATTTCATAATTAGGTCATTTAACTCGGCTGAATTGACTACATAGTACCATAGCACCTCAAATAATTTTCTCAAAATTTGAAGAAAGAAACAATTGCCACATTATTGAAATCCGTATTATTTTGTAGTGTGTGTCTGCGAAAGGAGGTTTCCAAGTCGATTACCAACCCAAAAAAAGAGGGGATTGCTTTACGAAACACTATAAATAACTTTATTAAAAGGTAAAAAGAAAGACAATGATTAAATAAACGTCGAAGAGAAGACAGATTTGCTTTTGAATTTAGTGGAATCACATCGGTCAATTTTGCTCCATTAGTGCGTTATTATTTTGTCAATCAAGGCAATTCTAAATAAAAAATACATGATTGATGGAGCAAAGATTTTTATTAAGGGTCGAAATAAAAAAAATAGACACAAAAAGAATATATATATATATATATATTAATTATTTTTACCTGGCAATATAATATAATTTTTCGACGATTGTGGCTAATTTGATACTCCTTCGTCCAAGATAGCTCGGCCACAATAATAGTAGGGTTTATAACCATAAACACATACTACGTGGGTATGGACATGTGATACTTTGTAAATAATACTATGAAATTATTCAGAAATTCACGAAAGTTATTAAAACTCCACGTAGATACTAGGTTTAATTAGCAGCGGTCAGCGGATGCTAATATTATATGGATACACTTGAGCTCAAAGGAAGAAGTCTATAATTATATAGCTTGCTACAGCCTACAGTATTTCTATTTTCTACCTTGCTAATTTAGTTCATTCCTTTAGTAATTTGTACTCAAGTGACTAACTGGCAAAAAATATATGTACGAAAGAAAAACTTTAAAAATTTATGGTCTTCTATGATAATTTTGTAGCTATATATAGTCATATTAGTTAACTTAATTAGATAAAATAAGAAATTTAAAATTAATTATTTTTAAATATAAAAAAACTATCATTATTTTTTAATAGACTAAAAAAAAAGTGTCACATAAACAGAATAAACAGAGAGCATTAAGTATTCCATACTTTGTTTTACGACCTTTTGTCTTCTCCTATTTCCAAGAAATTACAAGTGAAGCAGGTAGTCAATAATCGAATCAAAAAGAGCAAAATGAAACATGTTGATTCAAATTTTATTATGACTTACAACCTTAGAAAATAACACATCAATAAGGCAAAAAAAGAAAGGATTACATCTCATTTATATATAATCTTATTATTTTCTTTTCTGTAGATTGCAGACTCAAAAATAAAAAAAACAAAGTCTTGAAGAGAGAACGGAAATCATATATATGTACATGCAAACAAGCTAAGCACATACACTATTCACAGTTCCCAATCTTCATAAGCCTTATATATTTTCGAATTTACTGCACTTAAAAAAAAAGACTGCAACAGTTTGCATCATGCATGCATGAAACTATTGAAAAGCTGCAAATATTATAATATATCAAGCACAAGGTGAAGCTTGTCGCCTCAAATTTCTGTAGAATTTTGAAATAAATGCCTCAGCTGCTTCATCAACATGGCTATTATCCTCTACATCTCTAAGAGGAAATGGTGAATCAGTGATCCTAAGTTGTCTCACCATAGGAGTCCTTCCAAATCCAGGCAAAGCAGGCGACGCTGTTTCGCTCTGAATCATCTCTAATGCTTTCATTACAGCTGCATTCACAACAACAACATCATCTTCAGTGGAAATGTAATTTCCATTGTCGCTACAGTACTTGTTCTTGTTTCGTTTGTTGAAAGGTAAGTGAAAATTAGGGTAATCATGAACTGGGCTGTTACTGCAACTGAACTCGTAGTCATTGTTGTTGTTGTTGTAGTTGTGTGGAGGAGAGAAGGGTAAACTTTTGTCGTGTGAGCGGCGTTGAGTGTTGGACCATTGGTGCGTGTGATGAAGCATGAGATTTTGTATAGCAGCTTTGCTAGCAATTTTGCCACGCTTCATTATTAAGTTGAGATCAAGCATTAGTTTTCTCTTTGATATGCTTTTTCTCAACATGAAATATGCCACTCTTACTATGTTCCAGAATTTCTTTGCTATCACTGGCAAATTTTGTTCCATCTTTATGTATATCTCTCTGTATTTTTTGATTTTGTAAGACTAGATTCTATGATAGATTTGAGAGGGAAATGTGTAAACTGAATTGTGGGAATGTAAAACTAATGTGTGGTATATATAGGGGGGCTTTTGTACGTAGAGGAACTTTGAGGTTAAGCTAAAGTGATGGTCCATAGATATTTTATTCAAGTTCAATATTTTATTGGCTCAATTATTAATGATGGAGGGTCCAATGGCGCAGCTTTAAAAGAGTTCTTTATTTATTATGTCATTGTCATTCATCATTTTTGTAAATTTGCCTTACCTTTGATAGGGAAATTAGTTTTTGGACCAATTCCAAGTAAAAAGATTTCTAGTCTCCTAATTCAAGTAAGAGTTTTAAGGGCCCGTTGGTCATAATTTTTTCTTTTTTTGGAATCACTGTTTGGCAAAAAAAAATTCAAATTTCGCTTAAAGTTGAATTTCGAAATTCTTTTAAAATTTGAAAAACTCTTTCAAAATTTTCACTTCAAATTACTCACAAAATTCAAAAACAGCTTCAAATTGTATCCATGTCCAAACACAACTCTAATTTTCAAATATCATTTTCATTTGAATTTTTTTTTTCTCATTTTTTCCGAAATATCACAATTTCTATCCAAACGCCCACTAAATAATGTCCTAATCTATATCTTAAGTCATATTGATGCCTATTAAAAGTTACCAGTAACATAATTTCCAAATAATTGTTCATTAAGTAGATATATTCCTTTCATCCTATATACCCAAAAGATATAGGAGTAAGTAAATTCTTAATTTCGAATATTTTTCCTGCTGCATAGTATAAATTTGCAGCCAAAATTAAACTTCTGCACTGTATAAACTCAAATTCAAGAATGTTCCATGAAATTGAGTAATAAGTTACACATATAAATATGCTTTTCAGGTCTGGCTTCTAGATACGGCCCCTTTATACATTCGTGTAGAGGATATTTTCCAATTTTGATGTTATAATCCTTAAATTAATCAATAAAATAGGTACCAAAGAAAAACTAGTATTGCAATATTATGGAATACAGACGTTGCATTTGAATTGTCATGCACTTGTCTTAGAAAAAATTAAAAAAAGTGTTGCGGAATATCGTGAGTTAACTAGCACACAATCACACACAAAGTGAATACAGAAGAAAATTTAACACAAGGATTTAACGAGGTTCGACTAAGCCTAATCCTCGGGGCAAAAGCAAAGAGAGTTTTCCACTATGAATGAGAAGAAAAGCACAATACAATCTATAGAATCCCCAACTACAACCCCTATATATAGATCCCAAAAGGTCCCAAACATATATGAGAAAGGTTTCCCAATTTGACAAGGACTATAGGTTTTCCTTTCCCAAATCTATTACGACAATGAGTTTTCCTAAACCTATAGGGACTATGGGTTTCCTAAAAATACAAGAAAATAATTCAAGCCACAAATAACATATCTTCCCCTTGGCTTGAATTCTCTTCATCAACAGGAACAACGTCTCTCTACCTTGCCCTCAGCCCTCGCAAGGGCTCTATTGAGTACTGCACACACCAATCAAGTCTAGGCAATGCCTAAACTTGTTGGCCGGGACTACCTTGGTCATCATATCAGTTGTATTATCATGCGTAGACACTTTCTCCACTTTAACAACCCCCTTTGATATAATGTCTCGAATAAAGTGATGTCTTACTTCAATATGCTTCGTCCGCTCATGAAACATCTGATTCTTAGTAAGATGAACGGCACTCTGACTGTCACAAAAAACTTGTGTCTTCTTCCGAGCTAGTCCAAGATCACTTACCAAGCCTTGTAGCCAAATAGCCTCTTTAACTGCTTCCGTAATTGCCATATACTCAGCATCTGTGGTAGACAAAGCAACGACAGACTGCAAAGTCGCCTTCTAACTGATGAAACTACCAGAAAGAGTAAAAACATAGCCTGTTAGAGATCTTCTCTTATCCAAGTCACCTGCATAATCTGAATCGACATAACCAACTAAGGATTCACTCAACTTGTCTTTGTAAAAAGTCAAGCCTACATCAACAGTACCCTTCAAGTATCTCAAGATCCACTTCACCGCCTGCCAATGTTCTTTACCAGGACACGCCATGTATTTACTCGCAACACTAACAACATGTGAAATGTCAGGGCGAGTGCAAACCATAGCATACATAATGCTACATACAACACTCGAATATAGAACACTAGACATCTGTTCCATCTCCTCGTCTGTTTTTGGTGACATGTCTGCAGACAACTTGAAATGGGAAGCAAAAGGAATAGACATAGATTTAGCACCTATCATATTAAATCTCTTGAGGACCTTCTCAATATAGGACCGTTGGGACAACATCAGCTTTCCAATACTTCTATCCCGAGTAATCTCCATCCCCAATATCTTCTTTGCAACACCTAAATCCTTTATCTCAAACTCCTCACATAGTTGCTTCTTCAATCGGGTAATATGTGACATGCTTTTAGCAGCAATAACCATGTCATCCACATATAACAACAAATATACACTAGAACTGTCTTCAAGCCTTTTGTAATACACACAACTATCATATGCACTTCGAGAAAATGCATTTTGAATCATGAATGTATCAAATCTTTTATACCACTGCCTAGGCGACTGTTTCAGACCATATAAAGATTTCTAAGCAAGCAAACATGATTTTTCTTATCCTGAGTAATGAATCCCTCTGGTTGACTTATATAAATCTGCTCATCCAACTCACCATGCAAGAATGCAGTTTTCACATTTAACTGCTCTAGTTCTAAGTCATGAAGAGCCACCAAAACTAGTAAGATCCTGATAGAGCTATGTTTTACCACTAGAGAGAACACTTCATTGTAATCTATCCTCTCCCTCTGTGAAAAACCTTTAGCTACTAATCTTGCCTTGTACCTTGATGCTTCAACCCCTGGATTGCCCTCTTTTCTTTTGAAAATCCATTTGCAGCCTCGTACATTCTGTCCTTTTGGCAATGGAACAAGCTTCCATGTCTGATTCTTATGAAGAGACTCAATCTCTTCACTCATAGCACCAACCCACTGATCTGCTTTTGGACTAGAAATAGCTTTTTTATAGCTATTAGGCTCAAGCACATCAATGGTCTCTGCAATAGACAAAGCAAACTCCACAAAATTAGCATACCCAAGAAAATTACCATCAGCTACGTTTGCAAACCTTTGTGGTGGATTGAATCACTCTCTTCTCTCTGCTTGTTGCAATGCTATAGGGTTGTTGCGCAGGTGCATCAACATGATCGTCTTGATCAATATTTTGCACCTCCTCCACTTCCTCTACTTTAGAACTACTGGGCTGAGCTAGTGGAGATTCAATTTCTAGCTCTATGCGGTCATTGACACCACGATCTTCTTATGCTATTGCCTTCTCCCTCTGACTGTCCAGTGAGGTAGATTCATTGAATGTTACATCCCTACTGATAATTAGCCCCGGAGTCTTTTGATCTGTGCACCATAACCTATAACCTTTCACTCCAGTTGCATACCCTAGAAATATGCACTTCTTTGCCCTCAGCTCAAGTTTTCCATCCCTCACATGAGCATAAGCAGGACAACCAAATATCCTTAAATTTGAATAATCAGCAGGCGAACCGGACCATACTTCAAAAGGAGTTTTGAACTCAATAGCTGTGGATGGAGATCTATTGACCAAATAACAAGCTGTATTGATTGCTTCATCCCAAAAATCTTTGCTAACACATGAGTGTGAAAGCATGCTTCGTGCCCCTATTACAAAGCGTTCTATTCATACGTTCTGCAATACCATTTTGTTGTGGTGTTTCGACATAAGTGCAGTTTCTCACCATGCCCTCCCTGCTGTAGAAATTATCGAACTCAGAATTGCAAAATTCCAACCCATTGTCAGTTCGAAGACGCTTAACTTTTCTTTCCGTCTGCCTCTCAACCATCGTCTTCCGTTTAACAAATGTCGAAAATTCCTCATCTTTTGTTTTCAGAAAATACACCCACACCATCCTTGAGTAATCATCAATCAAAGTCATAAAATACCTGGCACCACTCTTGGAGGGAACACTGTTTGGACCTTACAAGTCAGAGTGTATATAATCTAACTTGTCTCTGGTCTTGTGCTCGGCCTTCTTGATGAACTTTACCCTTGTCTATTTACTAAAAACACAATACTCAAAAAAATTCAAAACTTGATTTTTGTACCCATTCAGCAAATTCTGCTTACTCAATAAAGACAATCCATTATCACTCATATGGCCAAGTCGCAAGTGCCACAACTGAGACTGATTCAGATCACTTTTCCCAGAAGCTACAGCAGCTTCCCCTTCAACTACACTGGCCTGAAGATGATACAATTTAGAATGTAGTTTACCCTTCATGAGTACCATGGAGCCTTTACACACTTTAAGTATTCCATTCTCGGAGTGAAATTTATACCCTTGATCATCCAAAGTCGAAAAGAGAAATCAAATTTCTCTTTATTCGAGGAACATGCCAACACTCAATGTTTCTGATAATTCCGTCGAACATTCTCAATTTGATGTTACCAACCCCCTCTACTGGTAATGGATTATCATCTCCCATACAGACAATCTCACTCATTTGTTTGTAAGTTGCAAACCAATTCTTGTGTGGACACATGTGGAAAGTAGCACCAGAATCAAGAACCCAAGAATTTTGCCCATGACTAGAACTCACAGCACAAACTTCCCCTACATAGTCACTAACTCACTATCATCAGAATTATTGCCAGTGTCAACAATATTTGCCGAATTATCTATTTTCTACTTCCCTCTTTTCTCCTTCAGCTTAGGACAATCTCTCTTGTAGTGACCTTGCTCCCCGCACTCATAACAGTGTTGCTTCCTTGCTCTAGACTTTGATCTTGCGGTTGACTTTTTCCTGTTAAAGTCCTTTTGTTGTGTTCTTCCTCTAATCATAAGACCCTCGCCCTCAATTCTGTTGTCTGGAAAGCTCTTTTTCAACACTTTAGATTTTAGTGCATTACTAACATCTTCTAGTGAAATGCTGTCTTTCCCATATAGCTGTGTATCGGCAAAAGTATCATAAGACTTGGTAAAGAACATAACACAATCAA